CAGAACTATTTGGGAGCTCTTATCTAATCCCTAAAAGATTTTAGGGTTACCTCTTCAGAGAGGTAATGTTAGAGTAGCAAAAAGAAAGAAAAGAAAGAAAGAATGAAAAGAAAGAAAGAATGAAAGAGAGAGAGAAAGAAAAAAGAGAAAGAAAAGAAAAAAAAGAAAAGAAAAAAGTGATGGGGAGATATGGGAGGTGTTGGAAATGTATGAAATTCTCAATAAAGTTTTTGTAAAAGTTAAAAAAAAAGTCTTTTTTGGAAAAATACCTTTTAAGAAGCTGAGAAGTGGGACTGGAGAGATGTCTCAGAGGTTAAGAGCACTGGCTGTTCTTATAGAGAACCTATGTTCAGTTCCCAGAACCCACAGGTAGCTAACAACCATCTGTAACTCCAATTCCAAGCAATCTAATGCCCTCTTTTGTCCTCCATAGGCATTGCATGAATGTGGTACACTCACACACATAAAATAAAAGTAAATACATTAAAAAACAAACAAAAAAAAAAAAAAACAAAACCCAGCACTCCGGAGGCAGAGACAGGTGGATCCCTGTGAGTTCAAGGCCAGCCTGGTCTACATAGTGAGTTCCAGGACAGCTGGGGCTACAGGGAGACCCTGTCTCAAAAAGACCAAAAAAAAAAAAAGAACTTAGGTGGCATGATGGTGCATGCCTTTAATCCCAGTACTCAGGAGGCAGAGGCAGGTAAATCTCTGTGAGATTGAGGCCAATCACATCTATATACATAGTGGGTTCCAGGCCAGCTGGGGCTACAGGAAAACCCTGTCTCAACAAGACCCAAAAATAAATAAAATAAAATAAAATTTTAAAGGAAGCTGAAAAGGTGAGAGAAGACTGGGGAAAATATTTTAACTACATATCCAGCAAGGGACGATTATGCAGGGACTAGAAAGAACTTCCAAACTCAAGTGTAAAACATCAATAATTGCTGGGCGTGGTGGCACATACCTTTAGTCCCAGCATTCAGGAGGCAGAGGCAGGCACATCTCTGTGAGTTCAATGCTTGGTCTACATCGTGAGTTCCAGGCCAGCTTGGGCTACAGGGAGACCCTGTCTCAAAAAGACAAAAAAATCAATAATCTAGGACTGGACATGGTGGTGCACACCTTTAATTCCAGCACTCAGGAGGCTGAAGCAGGCGGATCTCTGTGAGATCAAGGCCAGCCTGGTCTACATAGCGAGTTCTAGGTCAGCTGAGGTTACAGGGAGACCCTGTCTCAAAAAAAAAAAACCCAAAAAAACAAAACAAACCAATAATCCAGCTGGGTGTGGCAGCACACTTCAATAATTCCAGCACTCAGGAGGATGAGGCAGCCTAGACCATAGAGTGAGACCCTGTCTCAAAAAACCAAGTCAGGGGCTAGGCTACAGCTCAGTTGGCACAGCGCTTGCCTGGCATGTACAAGGCCCTAGATTCAATCCCCACCATCACTTAAGTGGCCATGATGGTACATGCCTATCATCTTGGTACATGAGAGGTAGAGGAAGTAGGATCAGAAGTTCAAGGTCATCCTTGACTATACTGGATGCTCAAGACCAGCCCGGGCTATATGAGACACTGCCTTTAAAAAGTAAAAGTCCAACCCAAATAAATAAATAAATAAATAAATAAATAAATAAAGCCCCCAAACAATTCAATCAAGAAATGGAGAAAAGACGGCATCGGAAAAGACCTGTAATGTCAGTCAATGAAGGAAGAGATGATTAACCTCACCAGTCACCTGGGAGTACAGATGAAAACCACAACCAAATGCCATGTACACACCTGTCAGAGTGACTGAGGTACAAGCTCAGGGCCCCTTAAATATGGCTGGTGGGAGTATAACACGGAAGAGCCGCCACCAAGGTTATTTTTTGAGCTGAACATGAGATGTATTAAGTCACCCAGTGATTTTACTACTATGCATTTACCACAGAGAAATGATAATGTGTGCTCACACAGAAGCCTGCCCTGGGTGTCCACTGCAGCTTTGTCAGCTAAAATTAGCTCAAAATATAAATAAACAAAAGACCCATGAAAACGACACAGCATGTGATGAGTGAAACTGTGCTATGCCCATGCATTGGACTATTACTCAGCCATAAAAAGGAATCAACTATTGATAGAATAACTTTGATGACTCTAGAGAGATTTATGCTAAGTGAAAAAGTCAGTCCCCAAAGTTTACATCTGGTATGATTCCATTTATGCAACATTCTAGATATGAGAGATTTATAGACATGGGCCATGTGATTGGGAACCAGAGGCAGAGATTAGGGTGGGATAGAGGTCTGATTGGCTATAAAGGACAACGTGAGGGTTCTTACAGCATCAGAAATGCTGTGTATGTTGACAGTGGTTAACACAAGTCTCCAACATGGGGAAGCTGAAGAGAGGCAAATACCTGCACATAGCAACACACACACACACACACACACACACACACACACACACACACGCGCGCGCCCCAGAAACAATGACAGCAGACTGGAGGAAGCTGAGTACAGTAGGAACATTGTACCAACAGCAGCACTGTGACATCATATAACATTGTGGTTCAGCTGGGGTCACCACTGGGGAAACTGGATAAAGGTATGTGGGTCTCGACATAGCTTCCCACAGATGCACAGGGGTCTACAATAGCCTCAAAAGTTGATTCTTTGGGAAATTTCCTGTGTGTTTTATGTTATTTCTATCACTGGGCTCTTTCCTTGAGGTCCCTTTCTCTGCCCCCAAACCACAGCACTGTAGGATAAACCAGAGCCATGGGGTTGGAGGGATTGTTCAGTGGTTAGAGTACTGGCCACTCTTGCAGAGGACCTGGGTTTGGTTCCCAGAACACACATGGTAGCTAACAACCATCTGTAACTCCAGTTCTGGGGGATCCAACACCCTCTTCTGGCCTCCATAGGCACTGCACACATGGTGTACTTACATACATGCAGGCAAAACACTCAACACATAAGATAAAAATAAATTAAAAAAATAAACCAGAGCTCTACAGTACCCAGCTACACAATACCTAACTGCACAATACCCAAGTGCACAGTACCCAGCTCCCCAGTACTTGCTACATAATACCTGGCTCCACAGTACCCAGCTGTACAATACTCAGCTGCACAGTGCTTGCCTCCACACAGAACCCAGCTCTACAGTACCTACCTGAACAGTGCCCAGCTCCACAGTACCCAGCTGAACAGTACCAATCTGCACAGTACCCAGATGCACAGTACCCAGATGCATAGTACTTGGTTCCTAGTACCCACTCCTCAGTACCCAGTTATTTTCATGGAAGCTGGGAGACCAACCTCCTTCCTCTCTGTCTCTGTCATTCTGAAATGGTAGTGGCCCAGGAGGAAGGGCCACACAGCCCTGCGGATCTCCGGCTGGACGCCCCCGTAGTAGATGAGCCTCAGCAACTCCTGCTCCTGGTAAGTCTGCAGTGGGCAGGGAAGGGAAGCAAAGGGTTCAGTCAGCAGGGAGGCAGGTACAGCCTGTGGCCCTGTAGTCTTGTTTCTGGGGTAAGATCCTGGGGGTGAACAAGCAAGATCATATCTGGAACACTTCCCCAGAGGCTGTGTTAAAGACTCAGTCCCCAGTTCGGCACTACTGAAAGATGGTGGACCCTTTCAGAGGCAGAGCCTAGTGGAGGTCTTAGGTCACTGGAGAGGTTTCCTTCAGGGGGAATCATGGGACCCCAGCCCCATAGCATTCTTTCTTACACTGGGCTAGGAGGTGACAAACTTCCTACACCATGTGCTCCCACCATGATGGACTGTGCTGCCACAGGCCCACAGCAGCAGGGCCCATTGATTATTAACTAAAATTTCTGAAACTGTAAGACAAGATAAACATTTTCTCTTTATAAGCTGACCATCTCAGGGGACTTGTCACAATAATAGAGAGCAAACATAACCATATGAACCTGGATATTCACTGTGGCATCCTATAGAAGAGCCAAACCCAGTAACTTCAAGCTGACCCCCACCTTGCTATGTGGGTTCCCACACAGGGACTTAGAAGGGTAAAATGTACACCTATGAGGACCATACCAGAGAGGGTGTGCACATGTATGTGTGTATACATGTATACATGTATGTGTGTGCATGCACATGTGTGTGTGTGAAGCCAAGTAAGAAAAAAATAAAGATGTGGACATATCTAGGCTGAACACATTTTTATAAGAAAAAGCTAGTCAGGTGAGGGAGTGTGCCTGTAACCCTAGCACTCAGAAGGTGGAGGAAGGAGGAGGCTATCCTCAGCTACAAAGTGAGTGAGACCAGCCTGAGCTACATGAGACCTCATCTCAAAAGGACCAAAAAGAAGAGGGGGAGGAGGAAGAGGAGGAGGAAGGGGAGGAAGAGGAGGAGGAAGGGGAGGAGGAAGAGGAAAAGGAGAAAAAGGAGGAGGAGGAAAAGGAGGAAGAGGAAGAAGAGGAAGAGGAGGAAGAGGAGGAGGAAGGGGAGGAGGAAGAGGAAAAGGAGAAAGAGGAAAAGGAGAAAGAGGAGGAGGAGGAGGAGAAAGAGGAGGAGGAGGAAGCGGAGGAGGAAAAGGAGGAAGAGGAAGAAGAGGAAGAAGAGGAGGAGGAAGGGGAGGAGGAAGAGGAGAAGGAGAAAGAGGAAAAGGAGAAAGAGGAGGAGGAGGAGGAGAAAGAGGAGGAGGAGGAAGCGGAGGAGGAAAAGGAGGAAGAGGAAGAAGAGGAAGAAGAGGAGGAGGAAGGGGAGGAGGAAGAGGAGAAGGAGAAAGAGGAAAAGGAGAAAGAGGAGGAGGAGGAGGAGAAAGAGGAGGAGGAGGAAGCGGAGGAGGAAAAGGAGGAAGAGGAAGAAGAGGAAGAAGAGGAGGAGGAAGGGGAGGAGGAAGAGGAGAAGGAGAAAGAGGAAAAGGAGAAAGAGGAGGAGGAGGAGGAGAAAGAGGAGGAGGAGGAAGCGGAGGAGGAAAAGGAGGAAGAGGAAGAAGAGGAAGAAGAGGAGGAGGAAGGGGAGGAGGAAGGGGAGGAGGAGGGGGGAGGAAAAGGGGGAAGAGGAAGAAGAGGAAGAGGAAGAAGAGGAGGAGGAGGAAGGGGAGGAGGAGGAAGGGGAGGAAGAGGAGGAAGAGGAGAAGAAGAGGGGGTAGGGTCAAGCACCCCAGGCCAGCAAATAATGAACAACATTTCTGTTGAATTTTTGGCCATTTCTCAGCTTACACATCTTGTGCCCTTGGAAATCTTCCACATACTCATCTTGAGTCAGCTCAAGGAAAATTCCTCTAAAACAAAATAATTGAAAACAAACACTTCCAGTCACTAGTTTTCACACATAACTGTTACACACACTGGATGTCTTTTGAGGATTAATTTTGTCCACTTCCAGAAAAATCAGTAGGTTTTGTGGTTACTGTCAAGTGGAGGAAGCAATGGGCGGTGTGTGCATGTGCATATGCCTCTGAGTGTACGCTGAGTGCGTGTATGTGCATATCTGTATGTGTATGTATGCAAGCACATCTGTATGTGCGTGTGCACGTACACGTGCATGTGTGGGCATGTATATGCCCACACGCTCATCTGTGTTTGCATATGTATATATCCACCTGTGTATATGTATATGTGCATATCTCTATGTGTGTGCACATGCATCTGCATGTGTGTGTGCATATGTGTATGTGTATGTGTGTGCACCCATGTATGGGTACATGTGTGTATGTGTTTGCATGTGTGCACCTCTGTGTGCATGTATGTGCCTTAACTCACTATGTGGCTCAGGTTGGCCTCAAACTCGCAATCCCTTCACCTCAGCCTGTGAATGCTGGAATGGCAGGTGTGCACACCACACCCAGCCCTGCTGTCCCCTTCTCTATCCCTCAGGGTGAGGGAACAGCTCAAACGGCCCTTGCCTCTAATGCGTGGGCCCAGAGGGCTTCAGATTTCAGATTTTCTAGGATTTTTGAATATTCATACATATATATGCACATATATAATGAAGCATTATGGGAATGGATCCAGTCTTAAAATGGAGGTGATGTGTTCCATATGCTCCAACAGGCAATTTTGTACAGTATTTTTCGTGCACCTACATAAGCATACACACATATTTTTCTGTGACCTGCATCATAAACAGTCAAGTGTGAAACTTTCCGCTGTGATTTCATGTCACCGCTTAGCCAAGTTTCAGATGTGGGGCTTTTGGGGGATTGGAAAACTCAACCCCCTTGCTTCCTGACCCTCTCAGTCATTCACCTAAACCTAAATGGGCCAAAATGAGGTGTGGGTCTTTGAACTTTAAGGTTCATTTTTGCTATGCATGTCAACCTGAGTCCCCACAAGTCATAGAAGGCAGATCGGCCTCTCTCCAGTTCCTCCCTCTGGTGTGCCAGCCCCACTAGCTTACCGTGCTGCCCTGGAGGAACTGCTCCCAGATGCCAGCTGTCAGCCCTTGCCCTGCATCACAGGGCAGGTCTGGAGACACAATCATGTGATTGACCAGGGCCGACAGGTGAGTCCTCACTGTGGAGAGGTGTCTGCAGTAGGCAAGCCCTGGCCAGGAATGGAAGGTAGGCATCATCTTCTACCCAACATCCCTTACCTAGTCTCCCAGCAGCTCCACAGGGTTGTCCTGTTATCCATCGCTGAGTTCCTGAGCCCGAAATGCAGCAAATTCTCACTATCCCCATTTCCAGACAAGGAAAGTCAGCTTGGGGGTGCTGTACTCGGTAGTTGGACCACTAAACCCTAGGGACATATGTCAACTCTCTCAGGCTGGGATATCAGCCTCCTGTGCTGGAACCCAGCATCTTTAACAAATGTACTGTGGGCAGGGAAGGGACATGGAGGCAGGGGGACCAGGACTCCTGGGCTCACTGCCTGGGTGTGAGTCCCATTCATGTGAGAGCAAGAAGGCCAGATGTGAACAAAATCACAGTTGGACAGAGGGCCACAGCAAGTCACTGTCTGGGTTATGCCAGGTACCCAGCTTGCTTTCCAAGATGGCCCTGTTCTCTCAAAGGAACCTACCACAACCCCCTCATCCATTCCACTTGGGGCATCAGGAGGCTGTTTGGCACAGTACTCGGCATGTGGCAAGTGTATAGCCAATGCTGACCTGCACTGTTTGCTCTGACCAAGGCCTTCCCTATGTCCTTCTCCAGCCATCATCCCCCAAATCCAAAAAGGACATTAGGTACCCAGACTCTGAGAATCACTCCTTAGCAAGGGGGATGAAGGACAGTAGTGACGGGGGTCACACTTACAGAGCATGCACTGCACACCAGAGGACTGTTTCACATTTGCATAACTTAACTCATTTCTCACCGCACAGGGCAGGTACTATTAGCTCCATCAAGTAGATGGGGAAACTGAGGCATGGATCCATTACGTCGCTTGTGCAAGTCACATTATTAGGAAACATGGAGCTGGGATTTGGATTTGGGCTCCTGGGTCCAGAATCTGCAATCTCAGTTATCTGGGATGTGACATGTTGCCATCCAATGGCATCCTGCAACCTCACTTCTTCCTCCAGGAGGATCGTCCACATGGGCTCCATGCCAGGCCCCATACTGGGTACTGAGGATGGCAGTACAAACCAGACCTGTCCTAAGGGGGCTCACACTCCCCTTGCTTCTCTCAGCACTGGGGAGATGGTTTGCCCTGTGGCTGCACTGGTCCATGCAGGTCTTGGTAGTTTGGGCAAGTAAACCATGCTAAAAATCAATATAATAGAGATGGGGGCTGGAGAGATGGCTCAGTGTTTATGAGCCCTGGCTGCTCTTGCAGAGAACCAGGGTTCAGTTCCCATATGGTGACTAACAACCATCCATAACTTCAGTTCCAGGGCATCTGATGCCTTCTTCTGGTCTCTGCAGGCATTGCATGCATAGGCACACTTCCATACATGCAGGCAAAACACTCATACATGTAAAATAAAAATAAATAAACATATAAACAAACAAACAAATAAATAAATAAATAAACAGAGAGGGAAAAACAGGCTTATGAGTTGGGCGGGCCATAGTTCAAGTCTTAACTTTCTCCTTATTAGCTGTGTGACCCTGGACAAGTCAGTTCACCTTTGTGCCTCAGTTTGCTCATGTGCCAAATGAAATTTAACTTTTTAAAATTTGGGGAAAGGATATGACTGTCATGCTCTTCCAGTCACAGGAGAAGGGAGAAGACATTTATTGAGCACCTACAGCATGCTTTTCATCCCACAGTGAAAACAAGCCCTGTAAGGCGGGGCTTGGGAATGACATGGTGATTAAGACAAACCCTTACTCCCAGAGGGCCCCACTGCCCTCTCAGAGGACCCTGGGGAAAAAACCTGATCTCCAATCTGTACATGAGGAAACTGAGGCTCCGAGAGGTTAAAAAAACTTTGTTGAAACCAGATCTCTAGGAAATACAGAAGCAGGAATTCAAACCCAGACCTAGACTCTTTCCCCTGGCATTTCTGGCATACAGCAGGCACTCAATAAATGCTTCTGAGACCACAGCAACAATGAAGACCTGTACGCACATCCATAGAAGGCTCTAGAGAGGATCTGGTACTTCATGTTGTCACAGAGCAGTTTCAGAGGAGCCCTGCAGGTGCAGAAAGAGGGAGAGGTGAGTATGGGGCACATGCAGCCAGTTACACCATGAGGCATGGTTCCCTCTCAACACTGCAGAATAAAATCAGCCATGGGGGCACAGGGAGGGCTGTTGTGGATTCCACCCACATGGAACCATCACCCCTCTGCTGTCAACACCCCAGTTTTCACTTGGGGACTCACTCTTCCATAATTCTCTGCCCCTGTAGTTTGGATGGAGATGGATGACCACCCAGTACTTGAACCAGGCTGGAGTAAGACGATTGGCTCAGAGGTGGTCATGTGATCAAACCTGGGCCCAAGGGAAGAAGGTACACTCTCCTTTCTGCCAGAGTTTCTAAGCCAGTGGGGTATGTGGTAGTTGCCACTGGAAGCCTTCTTGGCCATGGTGGCGGCAGGGGGGGGGGGCTGGGGATAAGAGGGTAACTGATCTGAGAACAGAGTGCCATAAAGTCATTCTGAGCCCCCATCAAAGAGCCAGAGAGTTGTTCCTGTCCTGAGTGCCTGGATCCAACCAGGCCTGAAGCCGCAGTGCTCGTGACCCTGTCAAATATGCCAGAGTGTTTCCTTTCTTATCTGTTTTCTTTTTGTTGGTGTTTTGAGAGTGTCTCGCTACAGAGCCCAGGCTGGCCTGAGACCCAATCCTCCTGCCAGAGCCTCCTGAGTGCTGGGGTCATAGGCCTGTACTACCAAATCTGCTTGTTTTTTCCTCAAACTGGCTTGAAGCAGGTTTCTTCCACTTCCAGAAGTCTGTAGAGTGGCCCCATGGATTTGGCCTGGCTGACCGCACAGTGGGTGGACAGGTCAGAACTGCCTATCTTTGCACAGTATTTGTTGGCTAAAGGAGGAGGAACATGTCTGGAGGAGGCAGGGACTGAAGAAGAACCATGTGCTGTTGCAGAGGACTGAACAGAAGAACAGTTGTGGGTCTATTCTTTTTTTTTTGGTCTTTTTGAGACAGGGTTCTCCCTGTAGCCCCAGCTGTCCTGGAACTCACTATATAGACCAGGCTGGCCTT